GAAAACCAAACATGAAAATATTTATTTTTATGAGGTCGGCAATAGTTCGGCAACATTTTTTTCCGACTGCCGTTATATCATTCGATCTGGAAGAAATATATGTTATCCATCGATCTAGATATCCACTTAAATCACCCACTGATAATTCTTGTCACATTTGGACCGACACCATTTCGTACACTCCATTTTTTTTTTTTTTTTTTTTTTTTAATTCTTACTGTAAGAATGAGGATTTAGATCTGGCAGTCATTACCGTATTAGGAGGAATTGCATAACCTGTGAATTATTTCCCCTCTTTCTTTCTCTTTTTATTTATTTTTTATCTATTTATTCATTTTTGCTATAGATCTGAACGGAAATAAGGTGTCAAGCAAAATAAAGACAAAAGCTGTCATCTTTTTTTTTTTTTCTCAAACCCCGGACGTCGCAGGTTTGGGAGTGACGTCACAGATTGCCACTGCCGGGCGCAAAAGGTGCGGCGAAACTGTCCTACACTTCAGTCTAGAAACGGCGCCGTGGGAATCACATCCAGAACGTGTATAAAATCTAACGGCTTCTCTCCCCCCTCCTCCTCCTCTCCTCCTCCTCCTTCTCTCTCTCTCCTCTCTCTCTCTCTTTCTCTCTCACTCTGTCTTCTCTCTCCTCTCCTCCCCCCACTCTCTCTTCTGTCTCTCTCTCCTCCCCCGCACTCTCTCTCTCTCTCTCCCTCCCTCTTTTCTCGCCTCGCTCTTACTTTCCTGCTGTCTGTCTGTCTGTCTGTCTGTCTCTGTCTCGTCTCTCTCCTCTCTCTCTCTCGTCTTCGTCTCTGTTCTCTCTCTCTCTCCTCTCCGTTCTCTCTACCTCTCCTCTCTTTCTCGTCCTGTTCTCTCTTCTGTTCCCTCTCGCTCTCTCCCCCCCTCCTCTCCTCTCCTCTTGCTCTTTCTCGCTCGCACTGCTTATTTCTTTCTACTTCTCTCTCTCGCTCTCTCTCCTCTACACTTCTCCTCTCTCTCTGCTCTCTTTCTCGCTCCTCTTACTTTTTTTTCTCTCCTCTCCTCCTCTTTCTTTTCACTCCACTCTCTCTCTCTCCTCTCTCTTTGCACGCTCTTACAATCCCCTCCCCCCCACGCTCTCTCCTCCCTCTTTCGTTTTTCTCGCTCGCTTTTACTTTCTGCTCTCTCTCTCTCGGTCTATCTGCCATTCATTTGCGAATCCAACTGGGACGAACCACTGTCCAAATCATTTCTGTGTCCCCCCTTCTCTTCTCCCTCTCTCTCTCTTCTCTCTCTTTCTCTTCTCTCCCCTCATGTCTCTGATCTCTCCTCGCTCTTCCCTTTCCCTCGCCCGTACTCTCCGGCGAGCTCCCCGACTTGTCTTATTCTCCCGCCTCTTACTCCGGCCCGTATCTTGCCTCCTCAACCTTCCTCCCCTGTCCTGCCCTCCCAATTTTTCTCCTCTCTTCCTGGCCTTTTTACTTGTTCTCCTCTCTCTCTCTTCTCTCTCCTCTCTCTCTCTCTCTCTCTCTCTCTCTTTAATAAATATGAATATGACCGATCGAAAATGAATTACTATATAACCCCTACACGAAACTGGTTAAACGTCTAATCAAAATGTTAATATGGCATAGGCATATCCATTCATAAATTCATATAGGGTGAAGAACCATTGCAAATAATGGAATTGTTTTGACTTTCTCTTTCTCTCTATCTATGCATCTTTCTCTGTCTTTGTGTGTCTCTGTCTCTGTCTCTCTGTCTCTCTTAATCTATCAATCTCTCTCTACCTCTCTCTCTCTATTCAGTCATTAATATTTCTTTATATTTATTATCCGCATATTTTCACTTTCTCCAGCCTACATTCATTTAATGTCTGTTACAATGAACATGTAGCAACAGCAATACAATTACTCAAATATAGCAAGTGATTACACGCAAGGCATTTTCACTCTTGATAATAATAAATATTCCTTCATCACACCTTGCTGTTCGCGCGGTATTAGCGATTTCGAGCCGTGTCCGAATGCAATCATATGATAAATACTCGATTTTTGAATACCTACAGTCGAAATAATATTCACGGATAATCTGAAAATATGAGGTATATACAACATATATAACGTTTTGTTTTTATGAAAGTAATAAGTTTTATATACACGAAGCTGAAGCCAATGGATTCTTTTCGGGACATAGTGTTTACGACTGGAAATAATGCAAATCTACATGGTGTTTGCATTTTTTTGAGCTTGTAAGTTGTTTTTTGCTTGAAGAACTATTGCAAAGAGATATGAAAGTTGTAAGAGTACAATAAGCACCGGTGACTGTTGCCTGTTTAGCGATTTTTTTCTTGCCTTAATTAAGAAATAATTTATTCTAACTGGCACCTGATCTAACGCTCAGTGAAGGGCCCTGGGGAAGAAACACCACGCATGCGCAGAAGCAAAGGGGCCGAGCTTGTTCTTGAGCAGGAGATGGGCTCCGCCTCTAGAAACGATGACGTCATGAGACCTTAACGTGTGGCAGAAAAACCGGGACACGAAGATTCGGCGTCCGGGCTAAAATTCCGGACGTCCCGGGTTGAATTATAAAGGATATGACAGCTAAAGCCAACTAAAATAGGAGTTCCACATGCAATTTCCCTATTCCCTTTCTTGGCAAATAGTGCAAATACCGGATATATTTATTTATCGCACGCAAAAAGTTTAATCGGGAGTGAAACAGACTTTGGTTTGCGTGTTCAAATATGACGAAAAAAACAATACATTCGTCACCAGCCAATCACAACGCTGGGTGATAGCCAATAGAAATACGAGAAAAAAAGACTGCCACAACGACAGCCTTGGTTGCATTTCCATCAGTCTGGAAACAACGGTTGCAGGGAAAGGAGCTGCATCATTGAGTGAGAAACAGGGAATCTTGTGCTTGATTCTCCTTTAGGCGAACGCGTCCATGATGTCAGACTAAAACTAGATCTATATCTATTAAATTCAGGTTTACATATATATATTCATAAAAATGGGTATATATATATATATTGTAACTTTCAATTATACTTTCGCATAACTGATCGCGACGATTTAAATATCGATGGATCCTATGACACTCTAGTACACTTGCAAGTAGAAATTATGCGTAATATCTGTCGAAGCACCTGCTGACCACGCATCGTTGACTGGCCCAAGCCAATCAATTTTTTTTCAGGCCTAAAAACTATTAATTAGGCTTAATCGAGATAGGTTTTGCCATCAATGGCAACCCATTTCCATAGCGTAGAAACATTGTGTAATTAATATATCATCCATCACTAACGTTACATAATGCCAAACAATAGTGCAACAACAAACCGTGAATTTTTTGACAAACGGAAAATTTAACTGCGCGTTAATTTTGAAAATAACTTGCTCACGTATGCAAGGTTTCCAGTCTGGTGTCTTTGTGTCTATGTGTGAGTTTGTGAATGTCTATATCAATATATACATGTGTATATATCTATCTATCTGTATGTATGTATGGATGGATGTATGGATATGTGTATAAATATATATAATATATATATGATATTTATGTATATAGATATATATCATATATATGTATATATATATATATATATATATATATATATATATAGATATATATATATATCATATATATGTATATATATAGACATATCGTGTATATGTATAA